TGCTTTTCCAAACAGAAAAATACTGCTCCCCATTTCTAAAGTCTCAGATCTAATCATAAAGAAGCCTTAAGATCAAAACAGGTGGAAAGACCAGATGCTCTGCTGGAGAAGGAGGGGGCAGTCTCCTCCTACTAGTCAGATCTGATTTGATGGTACATGTGAAAAAGAATACAATAAAATTATTTTTTTTAAAAAAAAGGCAGGTGGAAAGGCAGTTCCCAGGCTCCCTTGCTGAGAGGGGCGGCACTCCTAGCCTGGAAGGAGGGGTCTGGGCTGGATCCAGCAGGAGACCCTGAGTAGAAGCCCAGCTCTCAGTACCTGCTTTTCTCTTCTCCCCCTCCTCTAGTCCTACATGAAAACCAACTGACCCACACAGACTTGAAGCCAGAGAACATCCTATTTGTGAATTCAGAGTTTGAAACTCTCTACAATGAGCATAAGGTATAGCAGAGAGAGGGTAGTGACACGGTTGGGGAGTCCCCACTGGATGCTAAGTCTTGACCTGGACCATCTTACTCCTCAGAGCTGTGAAGAGAAGTCGGTGAAGAACACCAGCATCCGAGTGGCTGATTTTGGCAGTGCAACTTTTGATCATGAGCATCACACAACTATTGTGGCCACTCGTCACTATCGCCCACCAGAGGTGATCCTTGGTGAGTGACTAACAACCACCCAGACATGGTGACAGATAGGAGCAGAGAAGCAGCATTGTGCTTGAGGGCAGTGGGTGGGGTGGGATGGGATTGTATCACAGCAATTACTGACTCAACCTCATAGGGTCAGGGTCAGTTGGCCACCAGAGGCACTGCCCCTGGCTATCCTGTTACCCTGTGCTCTCTAGGCCAGGAGCACTGGACAAGACCTCACAGTTTGTCTCTGCTTTGGCTTTCAGAGCTGGGTTGGGCACAGCCCTGTGATGTCTGGAGCATTGGCTGCATTCTCTTTGAATACTACCGGGGCTTCACACTCTTCCAGGTATGGCACCTCCTAGAACCTCTGTACTGATGGGCCATAGAGACTGAATGGGAAGAAGCCCTTATGCCTTGGGAGACAGTTGGTGTCTGCTGTTCCTCCCCAGCATCTGTTTTGAGACTGAGGCTGTAGATTCTCAGGGGAAGGAAGAGGTCAGGGGAGCTGGAGTAGTCAGGAAGTTACAAGCAGGGGCATCAAGGATGGAGAATTAAGGATGGAACAGTGAGCATTGCAGGCAAGGGAATGGCATTTTCCTCTTAGGGGTTTGCATCTCACGGGGTAGGAAAGGTACTTGCCCATCTTGTTTGTTTTATGTTGTTTTATGAGGGAGGGTCTGAAGCTAGGGCTGACACCGTCTCTGTCCCTGACTGTTCATAGACCCATGAAAACCGGGAGCACCTGGTGATGATGGAGAAGATCCTAGGTCCTATCCCTTCGCACATGATCCACCGCACCAGGTGAGGAGGGCCTGGCATCTCCCTCACAGCTGGCCTAGGGACAATTTCCCTTCTCAGCTGGGCCATTGGGGTACTGAATATTCTTTGCTGGACATCTACAGCTCATCCAGGCTTCTGAACCCTCTCCAGATGACCTGGCAGAACCATTGTCCAGTCCTTCCTGCCAGCTTGGACTGGCGAGAACTTGGTTTTCCCACCTCTCCTTTGAGCTGTACATCCTGGGAATTCTAAAACTTGACCATACCCTTTCCTTTCTACTTCCAGGAAACAAAAGTATTTCTACAAAGGTGGCCTGGTCTGGGATGAGAACAGCTCTGATGGCAGATACGTGAAGGAGAACTGCAAACCTCTGAAG